CTCATTTCCCTGACCGTCAAAGGGTTAATTATACTTTGAACTAACATTGATTACATATAAGATTAAAATAACAATAATTAAAGTAAAAGCAAAGTAAGTCTGTCAAATTAGCAACTCTCACATTTAAGTTACCATTTTTTTTAAATTACGTCCTGATTCTGATTTTGTACGAATGCTTTTCTGATTCACCCGTCCCCAAGGGGTTAAGTTTATCCCATAAATGCAGGGATACCTTTAATTAGTCAATTGTGACTACCATTAGGACTTAATTTCGAATTATTTACATTTAAAGCGAACAAATTCACTTTAGTAAACTGGAAAAAAATATGCTATAAAAAGTTGCTAATTTTCATCGTTTTAAATAAAATTTTTAATTTTATTAGTCACCATGTTTTATACTTTTTATTTGCCCGTGGCAAATTTCTTCGAGCTGTACTAAAGTTTCTAAAGTAGTATTCTTCGTTCTATAATTTTGATTTAAAGTTATTTTTCGCACCATTAATTGTAAATAAATTCAAAATTAAATTTAGAAAACCACTTTGTAGAGGTTTTACTTGGAGAAAATTTAAAAATTTTTGCAAAATTACTCTAAAAATTGAGTCTAGGTTTTTAATTGCCTACCGCCTTAACAATATTTTGCAAAAGTATAATAGTTGGCAGCCCAGAGCTCATATGCCTCATTTATTTATAACCGTTCTAATCATATTCCTCTCAATTCCGAAGTATTTCTGTATTTTTATAGCCTTTTAACTGGTAGTCTTGCCGTCTTTGTATTTATTCTTGTTTTATTTTTTAACACGAAAATATGTTATTCTTCTTTAGTTTAGATTCTTTTTTTTATAATTAGAATTTGTGTTTTCTTTTCTTATAGAATTTGGTGGAACTAGACTAGAAGATTTGTCTGAAGACCAAAAGTCTGTCTCCTGCCTAGACAATGAAATGGCCCAAAGGCTTGGCAAACTGGCAATCGAAGTACTTCAAATTTTTGAACACTTCTCTTGAGAAACATGATACTGTACTAGTAAAAACTATGACCGCTAACACGTTGAGCGCCGCGTCAACCATCGGTGGCTGACACTGGACTTTCCATTTAGGCCGCGTCAGCCACCGGTGGCTGACACTGAAATTACATCTAGTCCGCGTCAACCACCGGTGGCTGACACTGACCTTTCACATAGACCGTGAAAAACAGATGGCTGACAGCATATAACATGATATAGAACTATAAAAATTACACTCTTTTATGGAATTGCAGAAAACTTATTCAAAATTTACTTAATTATTGTGCTTGGTTTAATAAATTCAATTGAGTAGATTTTTATGCATCACTATTTTTAAACAATTCGTAGGCTTATATAATTCACCACTTTTGTCAAATATGTCATGATAAACCTTCTAAAAAAATAGCAAAATCCGTCTAATATTTGCAAATTTAGTTTGTAGTTATTTACCGTGGCCAGATGGGCAAGTTTCTATAAAATNTAGTTTGTAGTTATTTACCGTGACCAGATGGGCAAGTCATGTAAAATTAGCGTGGCGTTCAACGTGTTAAGATATCAAAAAACAGTCGTGATCTTTTAATCTAAGAGCTTTTTAACTGTCTAAATCCGCGGTTCACGATCATGTTCGCCACAGAGCCCTAAATAATCAATCTTCTTTTGGTGGTATCCCGATTTTATTTATGAAATTTATTAAGGCAATTATGAACATAATTGCTTTAAAAAGACTATTTTATAAAATATTTAATTAGAGGAATGAAGATTTTTTTTATAGTTTTATCAAAAATTACTTTAAATTAGGTTTTAAGACCCAGAGTTAAATTTGCAGCTATATATTGTGTTATATCTAGTCTAGTTATGAATTTGTCTTGCAATGAATTGAGATTTGGTGACATATAAGCTGAAAATGACTAAAATAAAACGAGTTATGGTTTACTTCGAAATGAAAACTTAAATGAACTGCCGTAAACGTTGAAAATGGTAATTAATAAAACATCTTTTTCTATGAAAGAATTTAGTTTTTTTTTTTTGTTTTTGAAAAGTGCGATAGTAAATATTAATGCAATGTTTAAAGAATGCTTGATTTTTACATCATTTGTTCAATATATCGTTATTAGAAATGCTATAGTTTCTTTTCAAAAATACCATTTCTATTTCATTGGTATTTTTAAGTAATTTCATAAAGACAACCGAAAGATTAAATAAATAATGAATAATAGATTGGATCTAAATATAATCAAAAGTTTCAAAACTCATTATTTGTCATAAAAAGTACTAACTAACGGAACCCTTTAAACTTTCTACGGAACCCCAGAGTTCTATGGAACTCCATTTGGGATTCCCTGGTCTAGACTAACACAAAATAATAAACATGACTGGTGCAAGATATATAAGGAAAATCTAGAAGTATTCTTGATCCATAAATAGCGAATCTGAGGTTCTTAATATTCGACTCGGTAAGGTTGTAATTTTGAATGCAAGTTTGAGGACAAGGAAAAATCTGGAATCATTCTTGATCCATAGACAGTAAATCCGAGACTCTTGATGTTCCACTTAGTAAGGTTTTGATTTTGAACACAGACTTGAAACCAAGGATAATCTTGAATCAGACTCCGAGGCAAGTCTATTTTTGTGATGGACATTTAAAGTGAATATAACTATAAGGATAACACTTTAAATGATAATTTTACAGACTCCTTATATCCTTATGCAAGGAAGCTACTCCACAATTTTGAATGTGTTTTCGCATTACCCAATGGATTCATTGAAATTGCTCAACCCATTCATGTTAAGCTGTCGAAAGTGCCCTAAATCTGATAAAATTTGATAGTACCTATTTTATTCTTCTTCTAGTAAACAGATTTTCTCTTTGTGTTTCAAATAACCATTTCAGCTTAAAAAAACATTCAACCTTAATTTTAGATTAAAATGTAAACCGTTGAGTTATAAATATATCATGGTTGACTGTCCGGTTTCTGAAAAAATGCCACTTCATCAACCACTTTTTATTTTCTGAAAAACAAAAGCATGCTAGTTACACTGGGCTACTACGACCTGGAAATAATAAATGCGTGATACCTAAGATTTTTTAAAACTTTTGAATAATAATTAAATTTACAATTCATTTGCCTTCATTACCTTTCATTGAAATTATTCACGTGTAATTTTCTGCACCCATATATATTTCCTTTAAATTAAATACTTATAGATATTTATTGATATATAACATCTAGACGCATGAGGTTAAATTGACGCATATCCGTAGAGGTAGGTACACCACAAAGAGAATTTTAATATTTCAACGCTTTTGAAGAAAATCGACTTCAATATATATTTACCTCGATCAATGGATAAAACTCATTACGGGAAATAAAATAAAAATGCAAACGGGTTTTGTCATTTTCCTTATAAAATTCGAAATGTGTCAAAATGATGCGTCCCGTAAATGTGTTATTAGTATGTATATTATTAATATATAGATGGGGTAAATTGTGGTGGCGAGACTCGGGGCCTTCTATCGTCGAGTTCTTGTGCTGCTGTCGTCATGATGTGGGCTTTTCGACCATGGTTTCTAGAACTGATAACTAGGGCCACGAATTTTAATGTGGCTTGTTCGTGACTTAACCCGTTTTGTCCCGCCTTTATATATTGAAATGATACAAAAAGCGGGTTTCATGGAAAAAGTGGTATAATATATTATCGAAATTAATTGGTTTTTCTACTGTTAGGGCATTCAAAAAGTCTTCGATTGATCAAAAAGTACTTGCTCCTTTTAATTCTAGATCTAGTCAGATATAACTAAATCATTGTGGTATTTGAGAATCTTTTAATTCACCCAGATAAATGAAAATACTGAANGCCCTAAATCTGATAAAATTTGATAGTACCTATTTTATTCTTCTTCTTGTAAACAGATTTTCTCTTTATGTTTCTTATTACCATTTCAGCTTAAAAAAACATTCAACCTTAATTTTAGATTAAAATGCAAACTGTTGAGTTATAAATATATCATGGTTGACTGTCCGGTTTCTGAAAAAATGCCTCTTCATCAACCACTTTTTATATTCAGAAAAACAAAAGCATGCTAGTTACACTGGGCCACTACGACCTGGAAATAATAAATGCGTTATATCTAAGATTTTTTAAAACTTTTGAATAATAATTAAATTTACTTTTCATTTGCCTTCATTACCTTTCATTGAAATTATTCACGGGTAATTTTCTGCACCCATATATATTTCCCTTAAATTAAATATTTCTAGATATTTATTGATTTATAACATCTAGACGCATGAGGTTAAATTGACGCATATCCGTAGAGATAGGTATACCACAAAGAGAATTTAAATATTTCAACGCTTTTGAAGAAAATCGACTTCCATATATATTTACCTCGATCAATGGATAAAACTCATTACAGGAGATAAAATAAAAATGCAAACGGGTTTTGTCATTTTCCTTATAAAATTCGAAATGTGTCAAAATGATGCGTCCCGTAAACCTAGTGTATTAGTAAATGTGTTATTAGTATGTATATTATTAATGTATAGAAGGGGTTAATTGTGGTGGCGAGACTCGGGGCCTTCTATCGTCGAGTTCTTGTGCTGCTGTCGTCATGATGTGGGCTTTTCGACCATGGTTTCTAGAACTGATAACTAGGGCCACGAATTTTAATGTGGCTTGTTTGTGACTTAATCAGTTAAGCACTGATGTGAGGTCACACAGTTATAATAAGCAACAGGTAAAGGCATGACGAAGTAAAACTAAAATGAAAGTTATATACAGATGATAACGATGTACAGTAGGATAAAAAGAAAAAAACAAACGAGCCACCCTGAATAACTTTTAATTTAATGATCGGATCCTCGCGTTTAAGGACTCAAAAGTAATGGTTCGAAGAGGTGATTTCAAATATGCTAGTTAAGAAGCATAAATATGTTAATGCTAAATATGCTAATTAATTAGTGCAGATAATATTTTAAGTCCAAATATGGTAATTAATTTGTGCAGACAATATTTTAAGTTACGAAATCAGACATGCAAACATACTTTCTCTGAATATACATACTTACAATAAATTTTAAGATATACAATTTCATGCAACATTTGAAATTATATGCAAAAATACAAAATATGCATGAAATCGGTTGACTAGCTCCAGAGAAAGTGAATTTTAAAAATGTTACTTTCTTGAAATTCAAAATGGTTTGAAATTCAAAATGTATGTTTACGTCTATTATTAAATAAAATAATACTGAAAAAAAATAATATTTACTTTTTTTTTGCATGTAATTATTTTTGGGTCAGCGACGTTTATAATTGAGTGCGAAAATGTTTCAATTGATTTAGAAAGTGTAAAAAACAACTTGATAATACTGCTACAATAGAACAGCAGAGGCGAGACAATTATCGCCATACGATATTACAAATATAGAAATAAATAATGTCAAGTTTTTTGCGTCCATAAATTTCAAAACAAGTTATTTGAAGGCAAGAGTGATCTGCACGGCCACTTCTTTTTCTTATTCTGCTTTTCATCTTTTTCTCTCTCGGCTACTGTTGTTTTTCTATTTATGTTTCTCCCCTTCATTTTTTCATTTTTTATGAGCAACATAATTTTTTTTTTATTTGAAACCACTTTTGTTTCTTCTCGTTCATGTTTAGCAAATCTTGAAAATAAACACCTATTTTTAAGTGCTTGAAACATTTCGACTGTTGTTTGAAATTTATATATTTTTTAAGCGAATGAAAAATTTCTTCATTATTCATTATTATTTATTTAATTTTAGAGTGAAAAAAATATCTTCATTTAGTATTTTTTAATATGAATACCATAACAATCTTGATTTAAACTTTCTCTGAACAGAGCATTCTTCTTTGAAATATTCAGATATAGGCTTAGTATTATTTTAATTTTAGGTTGAAAAGTTTTATAGATCACCCAGAGACATAGAATGGGGTATAAAACAAAATAACATATATCTTCTTCAAGTAAGTATAATTTGTTAAGCAAAACTTATTAGTACTATTTGTATGTATAATTTGTGTGTGTAGTTTGCAATAATTTTTGAATAAGTGTTACGATACTGACCACGCTGCGAGTACCCTGTCACTGGTACGGAATTTGCATTATTTTCGAAACAATTTCCAAGTGTAAAAGTTAAAGTATTAATATAAACTAGGAGGCTTCGCCCCCTGCTCGCTGGCGCTCTCCAACCCCCGGAACTGCTTTCGCAGTTCATTTCGGATTGCTTCGCAATCCGATGCTCGCTCTGCTCGCTCATTGGATACGTTCTTAACGTCTAGCTTTTGTATACTTTTTTGAACACTGAAGTTCCGAAAACTTTTCACTGTAGAAAATTCTAAACCTGTACATTTCAATATTAATTTAAAATTGCAAACAGTTCACATATTTTTCTTAATCACACTATTCTAAATTTCAGTTGTTGAGAAAAGTAACTGTTGTAAGTTTTGTTTTAAAGTTTTTCACACCAGAGGGCTAAAATCATGTGTTGTAAAACAATAAGAAATAGTACTGAACGCCGGATGTAAAGCATCGGCTTCGATGAAGATAATTTTGTGAGAATTTTTTTGTGAGAATTCACCCGATTAGCCATATGATGCTCACTACGTGCTTTTGCGCGCCGAAGCCTATCAATTAAAAATGAAAACTGTTGCCAACGCGAGAAAAGAAATATCATCGGTTTTATAGATACATACGTATTAGCGTTTTATATAATATAGATGCGTTAACAGGGCTGCCAACTTTCAACGCCTTTGGTAAAAAAAAATGTCCAGTTGCACCCAAGTTTGGGTTTTAATCTATTATTTATTTGAACTTATTTTCCACACCACTGCATATGAATGATTTAAAAGTACATGGATACCAACAACTCCGCTTTCTGTAAAAGTTTTAATAAAGTGGTGGCGAATTAAATAATAAAACTTGTAAAATTTTGATTATTACGCCTTACTTTTTAAAAGAGTGGCAGCGAGTAAAGAGGAATAAAGTTGCATTTTGTTCCATACTTTCAGTCTTTGATATTAAGTGGTGGAAAAATTGCTTAAAATGAAAAATACTAAATCAAAAATGGCTTAAATTTTGCTACCACTAGAAAATACTCTTTTGCAAAGCGGTACAAGTTGGCACCTCTGAGTCTATCGCGAGGAAAATTTTAAAATGTTGGCAAAATTACCAAAAATTTAGGAAGATTTGGTTTTTATATGTCTACCACTTTATAAAATATTTTTCGAAAAGCGTAGTAGTTGTCAGGCATGCATTAGAAATGAGAGAATTTTGTTCACCGTTACACGTATATGATCTTAACAGAATAGAAATGAATAAATTAGGGCATGGTCATGATGAATATTAGGTCATCCGGAAAATTCTGCCCGAGTAAGTGCATGCCCTATTATGCAATGACACAAAAGATATCTTTAGAAAGAAAAAAAAATGGTAGGGATCTACTCTTTAATGCATACATTAGATGATCCTGTTCTATACTTTCGTACAAATTTGAATGTGTATACGTTTAAATGTGTAGGGAAAGCTAGTTCAAGTATTGAGAGAAATTTGCCTTCGTGGATCACTTTTAGATTAAACTAATCAACATTAGCCTAACATGGAGATTAAAACCATGAAAACATCTTACAGTAAGCCTGATGGCAAGGGAACCCTGACTCAAGATCCGTCTGCCCCTGAGGATATTTTTCGTCAGCACTGCGCGTTCCGGGTGAGGAATTCGTATCGACCAGCCATCGCTGGGATTCGAACTCGGTCACTTCATCGGGAGGCGAGCACTTATAACAAATTTTACTATTTAATTCGCTACCAATTTCATACCTGCCAACTCTTCCGGATTTTCCGGAAGATTTTAGTTTCATATTTAAAGTGGTAGCAATACTCAGGTTATTCCAATTAACTTTTTGAATTATAATGATAATTGTAAATGATTTTGACCACCACTACATATAAATAATTTCAATAAATATATAAAAGCATAATAATACTTGAGCAAGCGAATTTCAACGGGATCAAAATATAAATATATTTTTGAGTCAAATTGTTATTCGTTTATTGTATTACAACCACTCTGAAAATCCATTCTCGGAAAGAGTGAAAGTTGGCAGGCGCGGAGTAGTTGGCAACCGTGATTCGAGCTACCTCCATGACAAACTTTATTAATTTAATAATGTTTTTAAAAAAAGTTATTTAGTTAAAAGTTCTAAAAATATTAAAATTCTTTCTTAACCCTTTCGCGCCGACTGTCACAAATACGTGCCAGCATAAACCCGTATCAACCAGAGTAAAAAGATAAAACTGGTAATCAAAGTAATTCTTTAGAAGTTTATTTGTGGGCCGAGTTATAATTGTTTGATATATTTAATTCACCATTACTTTGTTCAAAATAAAACTATTTAGTTATACTTTGAATTAACATTGATTATATATATGATTAAACTAANGTAATCAAATCCTCCCATATAATCTAATAAAGTTTCCACAGAGCAGCAGAATGAGAAATTGTATTTCATTCATTTACTACATCTTCTGCATCAGTTACTATCATCACTATTTGATTTAACAACATAACGATGTCTTCATCAATCAAATACTGGAAGCCAGACTCACATGCTGAAACCAATCTTCTAAATTTTCTTCATCAAGAATTTCGAAACCTTAGATTTCTTTTGATTGTTCGAGAATAGTGTTATCATATTTTTCTTGAACATCTGAAGAAGATTGTTCATCAAGCGGTATGATATTTCTCCAAGATCGTGATAACGTAGACGATTTTAATTTTGACCAGGCTGCTGATATTCGATATACTTCAATCCAATAACGAATATTGCTTCCAAAAATTTGGTAGTGTTATAATTTCATGAATCAAATTTTTTTAATCTTGAAAATGTTTCTCTTTATACTTTTTGTGTGACTCCGGAATGAGCACGGATAATCCGCAAACCGGATAATCCGCGCATGGATAATCGAGAGTGTACTGTATCACTTTTTAAGAATCTATAATTTTACTTTATTAATGATAGTGGTAGTTTTATACTAATTTAAATTTATTTTTGCTTTATTGGCAAAAGCCTGGTCGCAACCGAAAAAAATATAGAAAGTGAAGACAACTTTTTCGTGAAATTAATTAAAAATTTTAACGATTTAGGTATTACTTTCATTTTAATTTGAGCTATATTTTGATGTCGATATATATTTCCGATGATTTTTTTTAAAAATATGTTTCGGTAAATAGGAATAAGCAAAGATTGTTTTTTTCACTTTTTAAGTTTTTCCCCGGTTTGTGGCCCGCGCTGTGTACTTCAGTGAATATTGATAAATTTTAAAATTTTTAGTCAAGACCTGTGACAAGCAGAAGTTTGTTGAACAGCTTTGAGTTGAAACACGAGTTTAATACCATTCTGAGATGTGAGAGGGATTATTTCACTTTAGCAAATGTTGGGTAAGCTTTTTTTAAAAAATTGTTACGATTACTTTACACTTTCTCTATATCTTGTTAAAATGTTCAATCGTTAATAAAATACTTTCTATTCATTCGCTAAACTTCAAATATATTTCTTTGAACTCGTAGTAAATAGACACTTGATGTTAATACAATTTTTACACATTCATAAATTGAATAGAGATGACCGGAAAACTGAATGGAATTTTCTGATGTGCTAAGCGTTGTTGTTGTTGTAACTAATCCTTCATGACCTAGCAACAGATAGATCATGACCTAGCAACATGTATTCTAGCAAAGTCAATTACAATAAGTGGAGATGATTTTAGGTCTTCCAGTCCCAGGCAGTCCAGGATATGCTCCGGAGAGGTTGGCTCTGAATGCAGGTTGAAAAAATTTTGCATCCGGAGCTAAAAGTCATACCTTTCAGGTGGCCACTATTAAACCTTGAAATCGCTGTCATATCTGGACTATCGCCCTCGAGTTCGAGAATGCAGCCTGGGCACTTTCTACAATAACAGTGGTGAGCAGGGGGAGTAAGCCATATTTGTTTGCAGCTTCTGTTCCATGCAGAAGAAATTTCGTGGAAAGTGAGGGAGTCGCAACTAGCCCCTTTTGGCCAACATGTCAGCAATTTCTTTACCTGACACATTTACGTGAGAAGGTATACACTGAATCTGAATATCTCGTTTATGGGGCATGTATTTTAGTTTTTCCAATATTAGTAAACCTACTTGGTCACTGACTTAATGCCAATTTTGTAGGTGCTGAATTGCACTACGACTATCACTAAGTATCCAAATGTCTTCAGAGCCATTCTACAGAGGTAATTTCTAACTTTTACCTCTGTTAGAACAAAAGAGAAAGAAAATTGCGATCATCATCTCCCGCATTGTTTAAAAACTACTACATTTATAATTAATTGTTGATATTTGTTTCGAAATTATAGAAGTTTGACAAAAATATGGAAACACTTCTATACTAACTCATTTTAAAAAAATTTTCTATCAACTAATGTCTTGGAATATTTTGCGTAACAAAACTGTTGGCACAGTTTGAAAGATCATATTTAAACCTTTTAGAAGTGGTGTTCATTTTACTCATACGAAATTTGCTTCGACCAAAATGAACGTATGAAGTTATAAGCTTCTTTCTTCTTACAATACCACTATAATTAAAAAATGCTTTAAAAAATTATTCCGACACCATCTATACTTCAGTATAAACACTTCCGTATTGCTTGTAATAAGTTGAAAAAGAAATTTATAATTTCTTGAACTCTTTTTGGTCGTTACAAATTTAGATTGGGCAATACGGACTCTATTTCTAAAAAGTGCCAACATTTCGAACCGTGCAAAATCTTCCTAAATGTATGTTAGTATAAGAGAAACTATTTCCATATTTGTGTCTGCATGTGGAACAATTTTTATCCTATCGCCCTTGAACGAATTACGATCATAATAAAATAAAATTTACTTATTAGTAATAAATAGAAGTGTAACATGTTTCAAATTAATTTTGAAGCAAGAATTAATTACGAGAAGAAAAAAATGGTGAACACCTGTTTTATTTATATTCCTTCCGTTACAGCGAAGTAATGCCCGGTGCAACACCTCCTCTGGCTGCTGAGATGTGCTCCAAACTATTTGCAAAAGCAATGCAGGTTGTTATTTATTGACATTTATTATAATTGATATATTTTTCATGTTATGACGCGTTATGATATATTATATTAGCAGAAACATATCCCAGTGGTACAACGTAATCTCCTTCACAGGTTTTAAAAATCAATTTAACAGGTCGAATCTTTTTTTAGAGATTTTTCGAAATTTTTTAATACTCATAACCAGAACTGCTCCACCAGTGTTAACTTCCAATAAAACAGGAGAAGTTCCTATATTTACTCTAATCGTAATGGGTCGTCTTTTAGCTAATTCATCGTAAAGTTTTACAGTATTTTAGTTCGTAACGGTACGGATATAATATTTTCACCTGAACTTCCGGGTACAACCTCAATAATTTTTTTTGTTTTTGTTTAAGATGCTTTTTTATTTATCCCTTGGACAGTCATAACTTGCATAACTCCTATAGTCATTAACTAATCATAACTCCCACTTTTGGACAGTCATAACTTGTACTTATGACATAAGTTGCAGATTTATTCACGTACACGTACATAACATATTACACGTTGCAGATTAATTCCATGATCAGATCTCTAACAATGATTACAAACAAAATTATTTTTATCGTTTGGTTTCTAGTGAGAACCGTTTCGTTTCCTTTTTCTGGTAAACCTTAAATTCTTCCAATTCTACTGGCTACCCAATAATTTCTTGAGTGATCTTGTTCACCTTTTTCATGGCCAAAGCCATTTTAATTGTGCGCTCAAGATCAATATCACCTTCTTCTAAAAGCCTGTTTATTGAGGCTCAATAGCCGGAGACCTCTCACAAAGACATCCTGCAGCAATGTGCTCAGGAGTTTTTGTTTGTAATTGCATGGCATTGCCTATGAACCCAGTTCTGCCAAATAAACATTAAAGCTTTTTGCTTCGTGTTGTTTTCGAGTAAGAAAAATATGTCTGCTACGAATTATTAATGGCTTTGGGTGAAAAAAATCTATAAGAATGTATTTTTAGGATCTTAAAATCAGTCGTATTGGATTGTTGGGTGCTAAAAAAATTTTTTTAATTTTTTTTTTTTTTTATTTTAAAAAAAAATAAATTATACATTTTAGCTCATAATCTTTCGCTTAATTCTTACTTGTTGTATTTTTGTTGTCCGAAGAAAGCCCAAACCACCCCAAAGAAGATTCAAAAGTTTCTTGAAAATCATCGAATTTCTAGAAATTCACACCAGTAGCGTTACTTCTGTTTCTGGATTCGTCTATCGGCTGCAGCCCCGACATTAATAACTTATTTCGTTCGATTAGTTGAGAAACGAGGTCTTACATTTGGAAAAAGAATGAACTTGTCCTATCTGGGAGCAGTCTTCAAGAACGATAATTATTTTACTGATTTTTAGGTACTTGAAATCCTATTCGAAATCAGTTTAGGGCTGCCAACAGTCTAAGCTTTTTGTAATTATTTTATCGAGTGGTAGCTTTGCTTATGTTTTAATGCATCATGTTTTATTTATTTAAACTAATTTTCCACATCACTACAAATAAATGATTTAATAGTTCATACACAACGACAGTTTGTTCCTGTACTTTTTTTGAGGGCCTCCCTGGCCGAGCAATATCACCCGCCAAACGCTGTGTGAAGCTTGGAGGTGATGGGTTCGAAACCCGCCGTAAACCTGGATGCATTCTTTCAGATGTCCCCCTACTCGACGAAGATTTATAAGCCAGCAAATGTATGCAATTTCAATAAACTAGTACTTTCGATCCAATCGCCCAAGGGTATGCACACATATGAAAGAGTCGATTGATCGCTTAGCTGACAGGCACTCTGAATAATACTTCAATCTTGTACTTTCGTATTGACGCATTTATAATTTTCTCAAAATCACCAGAAATTCTGAAGATTTTTCGTTTTTAAATGCCTTCCACTTTATAAAATATTTAGCAGAAAGCGTAGTAGTTGGCAGGCGTGTCAGTTTTGTTTTGAAACGAAACTTTTTTAAACGATGGTTTTTTACACATTAATTTAGTATAATCCACAAATCATCGCGAGTGTGTCATTCCTTAGCGTGAGGTTCTAAGATAAACACTCTTATATTTAAAAAGTACAATTTTTAATAATTTAATTTAGAGTATAGAATTTACATCTTGATGCAACACTTGATGGTGAGGAATCTAAAGTGAAACTTCCCGAGTGTTAAGATAGAAAAGTCCCGATTCAATTGCGCATGCGTGAGATTGAATCTGGACTTTCTTTGAAAATATTTGATTAAACGGGACTGCGACTTTTCAATGATACTAATTCAATAGTGTCTTAGATAATTGACTTACCTTTTCTCTATAAATAATAATAGAAAATATGGTGAAATGATATTTTTTATTAATGAAACTGGGTATCCTTACATCCAAATCTACCTGTGTACCTACCGAAATACATTGGGGGCTACTCTGGTTCCTTCCGTCTTTCTAGGTATAAGGTTCCATAAACGTTATCTAATCAAAGAATAAAACTGATTTAAGCAATTCAGAAAGACGCAAAATAAAATTTAAAATAATAATAAGTCAAAATGGAAAAGCGCAAAAAGCAGCTGAAACCAAATTTGTCTTAATTTTAACAATTTAGAAGGTTAGAGACATAAATCAAGCAAAAAGAAAAGTTTTTTAAAAAAAGATATGCATGTTAGAGAAAACAGCACTTCATAGGGGGGGACACTGTCTATTAACTCACTGGAGCCCTTCTGTAGTCAGTGGTAATACCAAAAACTGACTGTGTACCGGGGGCACCATAATGCATAAATTAAATAAGAAAAAGCTAGTAAAAATTACAAAATAAAATGTTAATGCTGTAAAAAATTAATGATACACATGCACAAGTCCAAAGTACAAAGAGGAAAAATTAATTAACAATAAAACGTCTAGAAATAAGGAAAAAAAAGATAAAGTTACAGTTAGAATAACCAAATCAAAATAAAATATAAATTGCAAAATCTTTAAAAAATTCTTTAAAAATATTTATAGTGCTGACCCCTTTTTAAAAACTTGAAAAATAGAGCAAAACATTCAATGATTAAAAATTCTAATAAAGTTATCAATATTTTTCAGGAACTAAATATCCAAAATTTCACATTATAGGCCTATTCATGCGGACTGCAATATCGGTCGAACTAGTTGAACGTCTCTTAAATACTTTGAATTGAAAAATTTTAATTACCATAATTGAAAGGAAAATTATTGTTCTTTAAGGTAATTTTGAAATTCCCAATTGTTGGAAGAAAATCTGTTTTATTATTACAAAGAAATTTTTTATTATTATTTTTGTTTATTTTTATTTTTGTTAATATGTGGGCGTTTCATTTTTAGTATTTTCTCTGTGTACTTTTGACTTGTGTTTGTGTAACATTAATTTTTAAATGCATTTAAATTTAATTTCAGAATTTTTTATAGCTTTTTCTTATTTAGTTTATCCATTATGGCGACTAGGGGCACAGTCAACTTTTGGTATTACCACTGACTACAGAAAGGCTTTACTGTGTTAGTGCGTCCCCTGATAAAGTGCTGATTTCGCTAACATACATATCTATAAAAAAATTCTTTTTTTGCTTGATTAGTGCTTCGAACTTCCTAAATTGTTAATTATAAAATAATCCTTAATTGTAAATTATGAAATGTCAGAAATACTTAATACTTTCTGAAAGTATATTTTTGACCAGCAAAACAATGGAAAAGAAGATGGACCAAAATAGCCCCAGCTGTCTTACCAATGTTAAGCATTACTGATTTTAAAAATAGCTCGCGATATTGATAATAAGTACCGATATTAGTTCTTTTGTCAAAATTTATTATAAAAAACATTAGTGCTGTTATTAATTATTTTCGAGAATTGCAATTAACTAACTTTCGTAAAAGGTACAAATTTAAATGAAAAAAATTCTATTGAAATTCTAAATTAATTAATGAAGAAAAGGTAATCATTCGTGTATATAAAACGTAGTAATTTGCCATATTGTTATCGACGTCAATGATGCTTAATCCATTTAGGTAATAGGTACTAATGCTATTATGTTAATTAGCGTAATCATAAATACTCAATACTTTCCAATGTATCTAGGTATTAATATTGTTACCAAGGTAACAAGGTGATGACCAAGGTTGGTACCAATATTAGTACTTTCTATGGTACTATTAATGATATCAAGATTCGTCTGTTGGAATAGGGTTTTACTGTTTATGAAGAGGAGAATTAATTAAACTGAATTATTTTGAAGGGATGAATTTTTAAAGACATTTTTTTGCTTAATCTAATAACATAAAGTCACTGTGAAAGGCAACAAACAATAATTAACGAAACGATTGAATTTGTTTTAGCTTAATTAATTGTGTCAGTACATGTCTATCTGCTTTGTGCTTGATATCGTAGAAGTAATCAATTCTGATTTATTGATAATTTCTTTTTTTTTCGTCCCTCATGAAACGGGTATTCCGCTAGCAGATTATTTACATGAAAAATAATTATAACAGGAATACATATATCAAATTATTTCTTTTTTTCTTTCTAGAAATTTGCTTTTGACAGAGGGATGACTGAAATATTTGCAAAGCGAATATATTGTCCTCCGGATATATTCTACAATCAAATCGTCATGAGTATACCAGAGGTGACTGCGTTTTTATAATTAACTTTTTCATCAGTTTCTTTTTCATCAGTTTCTTTTTTACCAATTTAACATAGCACTCTCGTATTTATATTTTATTTATTTATTTATTTTTGAAAATTGAAGGTAGCTAAGAACAGTCCGCAAAAAAAAGATATCACCCTGAATAACTTTCGTTCTAATGATCGGATTTTCACGAACTAAGTGTCAATCTTAACGGTTCCTGGGGGTGACCTCAAATATGCTAATTAATTAATGCTAACTATTAATTAAGTTACGAAATCAGACACAAAACGTACTTTCTCTGAATAAACATATACTTTTTTTTTTACATATTTGGATTCCTTATTTTCAAAATATGGGGGGTAGCCGGCATTGGGGGGAATTTTCATTGGGGGGTAGCCACAATCTGGGAAATGTGGTCCCTATAGTTTGGTCAGGCAATCGATTCAAAGTTTGGACCCCTTAATGTTAATTTCGCTTTTTGTGTTTTCAGTCATATTTTAAAAACTAATGAAGATAATTTCATGAAAAAAAAATTATTTTTAATTCTTAATTCTTTCTAATTATTTAATTAAAATGAGGATGAAAAAATTTTGAATTATAAGGTATGGATTTTTTTATACCATATTAATCTACATATTTTTTAATTGAAAAATCTAAAGCTTCAACTTTTTTTATGTATTAGAAGATGAGAAAAATTAAAATTAATTATTTAACAAAAAATAATTTGGCGACAATGAAGAAATGACTAAATGGGGCGATTAATATTAAAATGTGATAAACTTACGAGGAACTTGACTGCGCGTGCGTAGCATAAAATTTTATTCATATTTTTTTGCGATAATAATCGTTTGCTAATCTTTTTTTTTTTATTTCTTTCAGACAAACCATAAGATATAATGTTTCTTTTTTAGTCGTCTAAAATTCTATTTGCAATTTAGTAAAGAAATTTGAATAAAACAATTTATTGATTAAAAAACATTTTATTCAACGGATGTCGAGTTTTATAAAAGAATGCTTCTGATAGAATATGATTATACACCAGGTTGTGCTTATTTAATGTGATTATTTTTTAGTTTTTTTCCCCTCAATAACTGATACAATTTCAATAATATACATACGTATGACTAGATTTGGAATAAGATATTTATCAATTTCTTTTTTGTATATTTCTTTTTATATTTCTTTTGAATATATTTTTTATAAATATTAATAAATATACGTAGTAAACATATTTAAACATATCTCACATCATCGCAAATTTCTCAACATCTTATATATCGTCTTAATCTTAAAAGTAATTTTTTAATCACCTGTCCGGAAGTGTTTCGTAGAACTATTTTACCAACTATTTAATTAAATTTTAACATTTTTAAAAATCTTATTCTTTACCCTACTACGTTTATTATTTCTTCATTAATATGCTAATCAATTTTTTAGTACTTTAATTTAGTTTTTTTTTTAAAGTGAAGTTCCTTTTTAAATTATAGTCAATTTTTTTTAAAAATAATTATTGTCTGCTAGCTAAGAATAAAACCTTGTTAAGAAATTAAAAACATTCGGCTGTTTAAAATTATTTAATGCAAAACAGCTGATTATTTACTAAGCATACTATTTTTTTCGAAAAAAGAATATAAATCATTGATTGTCTTTTTTTTTGTTTTGTTTCTTGTGGCTTCAACATAGATTATCTAAAATAGTGCTGATGTTTTAGAAGTCACTGCAAAGAGTACAAAGATACCGAACATAAAAAGCTGTCGAATACGTAGCCAAAATTTTTAAGCGTCTTAAAATATCTCAGTATCTTAAATGTTGTCCTACTATCTTAGTTGGGAAATTAAATTTTTAATTATCTGACCACGTGTGATTCACTAGTTATTTCATTATATCTTTTACTCTTTCTTTGTGATTCCATGTAGATTTTTTTCCAGATAATATACTAAACAATTTTGTTTAATTTTTTACTTTAGCACGATTCCCAAGATATTATTGTAGTATAATTTGTTATCAGGAAAAATGCCTTATTTTGTGAAGCAGGAAATGCTAAAAATTGAAATTTGTAAGAAGATTTCGAAGCCTTGCCAATTTTAGAATCATCTGATTTTAAAAAAAATGCAATAAAAAATACGCAATTTCCGAACTTATTTTGATTAAAAATAAAAAATAATAAAATAAAAAAAGTGCCATGAAGGCTAAAACCTTGAATAGATAATGAATTAACCGCCAGCTCTGGATCTGGGTAAAAGCAAGCACTATTCAAGTTTAAATTCATTTACTTTCAAAGTAAAAAACTTTGGAGGTGATGTGTATACAGGCTGTCCACGTTCTACCACAGGGGTTCAAATTTCTAATGGGTCGTTTGAATTGCGCTTCTAAATTTCCTTTCTAAAAATTATTTAACATGAGATCTGATGGGCACTTTTTTTCCCTCGGGAAGTGAATTATGAAAGGGAAGCGGTGATCGTAAAACAATAAAACACACCCCACAGTAACCTTATTCTCTCCTTAAATTGAGAAGATTTCGTCCCCCAATCTTTGGTCGAAAGTGTCACAAGCCCAAACTATAAACGTGAGAACTATTGTGATAATCCATGCTTCGCTTTACTTGCTCGACTTTAAAAAAAATTATTTTTTTTGTGGCAACGAAATTTAAGTTATTTTAGATCAGTATTTTTAATTTTAAGTCATTTTTTTCTCCTCTACATACCATAGTATTCAAAGTATCAAATGAAATGCAACTTCAGCATCTTTCATTAGCACTAGGGTTACGGTCGTTTCTTATATCTCTATCTGTACGAACACATTAAACAGCATTTATAGAGATGCCAACTTACTCCGGACAGCTAATATATATTTTAAAGTGGTAGTTTATCAATTGTGATGAATCACAATTGATAATTGATTGTGATGACTTGGTTTAATAAATTCTATCCAGTAAATTTTTATCCACCACAATTTCTAAATAATTCGTAGGCTTATATAATTCACCACTATATATTTGCAAAATTTACTTAATAGTTATTTACCGTTTTTTTTAATTATTTTTTGTGCCAGATGGTTCATTGGAAACTTAAACATCCACAAAAACCTTAAAATCCCGACTGTCTGTCAGTATATTTACAAGCTTAATGCAGATTTTTACGACAAAGCAAAATATCATCATCGAAATATTTAAATTTGAAAACTTTAAAAAACACAAAAACCTAAGACCAATAGCTGCACACTTCACCTCTGACGCCTCATACCAAAACTACCAGCATACATAAAGATCTCCATCTCTTACATCAATAGTTCATAGCAATAGTTCAAAACATCAATTGATTACAGCCTCAACTACAATACCAGCCTCGAAATCAGCACCTGCTATCTCATGTTGACTATAAATTCACAGCCATCTTTACTACAGCAAGTTGCTTAGAATTATTTTCACTTTTCTTTTCAGTTAAACAAGCAAGGTGCTTGCTCTACAACATCAGTCACCCCAGAGACTCTGTATACAAACTGTTTATATATTTTTTTTTGTCTGTAATTTCATTATGAATAGGATATGGGTCTTCTGCACTGCCCAGTTGCCCAGTTTTTGTTAAAGTTGTAGTTGTAGTTCATTTACGTCGCACTAGAGCTGCTCAATGGGCTATTGGCGACGGTCTGGGAAACACCCCTGAGGATGATCCAAAGACACGCCATCACAATTTTGATCCTCTGCTGAGGGGATGGCACGCCGGCTTCAGTAGCCCGACGACCAGCAAGCGAAGTCGAGCACTTTACGGTAGAACAGTTTAACGAGGACCAATACCGCACACCCTCGGTCCCTACGCAGACTCATCCAAATGGTCACCCACCCGCACACTGACCACGGCCAGTGATGCTTGGCTTCAGTGATCTGCTGGGAACCGTGTCTTAACGATCAGTCCACTGCGGGACAGCTTTTATTAAATAAAGTAAAGTAAGTAATTATTTTGGCGTGTCCGGAGCAGTTGGCATTATATACTATAAGGAAAAAAATGAAAATATGAAAGATATATTTATGAAATATTCTAGTATTTTATTTTTCAGTACTCGAACTAGGCAACTGAAACCTTCAAAATCTAACACTCTGACATCAATTGACATTCTGCGTTTGTTCTTTCTATTATTGCTTATCGGCATCAGTTGTTTATCGCTTGTTTCATTTGAGATAACGATATCGGATAACGGGTCGAAGCATTGTCGGTACATTCCTATTCATTAGTGATGTGATGTTTGCATGTTTACTCAAAATTTTGTCTAAATTACGATCGCGTCAAATGGACGCATATCCGTAGAGATAGGTATACCATAAAGAGAATTTCAATATTTCAACGCTTTTGAAGAAAATAGACTTCAATATANATATCGGATAACGGGTCGAAGCATTGTCGGTACATTCCTATTCGTTAGTGATGTGATGTTTGCATGTTTACTCAAAATTTTGTCTAAATTACGATCGCGTTAAATGGACGCATATCCGTAGAGATAGGTATACCACAAAGAGAATTTCAATATTTCAACGCTTTTGAAGAAAATAGACTTCAATATATATTTACCTCGATCAATGATTAAAAATCATTACAAGAGATAAAATAAAAATGCAAACGGGTTACATAATTTTCCTTAAAAAATTTGGAATGCGTCAAATTGACGTGTCCCGTAAATCTAGTGTTAATGAGATTTAATCTAGTTACGGCAATCTCAAAAAGAAGACTGAGACAAACGTCACTCTTTCTAATGATGACGAAGTTAAAACTATTATCGAAAACCTAAAAATAAAAAAAGCACCTGGGGAAGATATTATAAGAGCCGTTCTCAATACAACGTAAATCAGCTGGCAAAACCGTAACCCCTTCGAGACGGGTGAGTCACATATGCTTTGATGCATTACCCGAGTACACAGCCTTAAAGAATCCTCGGCGACCATAAATTAAGGTTGAACTCATTTATTAAACTGAAAAATAAATGACGGAACTCAAGTATTTATTGAAGTATTAATGGGGAATTTCCTCCTTTTTTTCCTCAAGTATTATTGGGGAAAAAAGGACGAATTTTTCGGTTGTTGTTTAAGAAAATAAAAGTCAGTGCATGTCTTTGCAAACCTACAATTCTCGACAGAGTTATTTATTGCTTTATTTCATTCTTTTAACTTTAGATCACTTGTCGCCACGGCCATGATACTACACTTTCAAAGGGTTTCTTAATTAGTATTTTTGGCCGGGTTTTGGAAGAGCCAGAAATCTATGAGATCGCCAAGGAAAGATTTCCATATTCCATGAAGCCTCCCCTCTTTGTTCAGCTATTAGTCTATAAAGTAAGATTTTTAATTTTTTTCAGAATGAATTCTTCGTCTTTTATTCAGAATGAAATCTGAATTAAGAATGACAGGTATTTGATTTGAAAAAAATATACTATTTTTATAAATTATAATCAATTGTATCTGTCTGCGATCGATTGTGGAAAATTGAGTGCATCTATTTTCAGGTCATTGTACTCCTAAAATTATTAAAAAACATCTTTTAATTTAATACCTTTAAAATTAATATTTTTTAATGTAGCCGGGGAGTCACCCAGCCGAAGCTGCGGATAACAACGAAGAAGGGGGGTCCACCAGCCGTGCATACAAGTTTCCTTTTTTTTCTTCTTTATTTAATCTTTGTTCGTGAGGTTTTGAAGTTCTGGAATTCTACTTCGTATTTGTCTGTTCACTCGTATTTGTAATTGCATTACCCACTAGCCTGAAACTTCTAAATCTAGAACATTGCATCTAAGGGTAATAATGTTGGACGAAATAGTTTCTATTTCATTTTTAAATAAAGAAGGCAGATTCTTGCCCTTAAAAGCTGACATTTCAAGATGGAAAAAGATAAGCTGTGGCACAGAAATCGCTTAAAATAACAAGCATAGCAGAATGAAAAAGCCATACGTCACAGAAGGCGTTGTCGAGAATTCTAATCAGCGCTCTCAAAATCTCTCTTTATAAAATGTAGATGTAAAATTAGGTAACATGCAATCGGGTTTGAATCCCAGGCATGGCTGTTCGATACGAATTCAGCACCTGGCTCGCACAGACCAAAATATCGTCAGTTGTAGATTGATCATGGGTTAGAGTCCCCTCGTCGTCAGGCTAACCAAGGGAGGTTTTCGTGTTCTTCCTCTCCATGTAACGCAAATGCGGGTTAGCTCACTCAAAAAGTCCTCCACGAAGGCAGAATTTCTCTCAATATTTGATCTAAGAGTTCCTTTGTCTTCTGGATTAGGTTACTGCTACGGAGTTAAACATTGGTAGTTTTAAACTCAAAATTGTGTCTGCTGTTCAACGACGGTTATAAAATAAAATAGAGTTAATTATATTTTTAGTTACAGTTGCCCTCGCGGGGTACCCAGATATCATAATTAGCCTTGTCTACAACAGGTAGATGAGTCTTTCATTAGTATATAGCAGTGTTTCTTAACCTTTTTGATATAATGGACCCCTTTTAAAAATTTTTAAGAAGTCACGGACCACCCCCCTGTGAAAAAAAATAATTGCAAAAAACATCAATTATTAGAAAACATTTAATTTTATTATTTTAATAGTATACAAAATTTTTAAAATTAAAATTTTTAATGTGAAGGTTGCTGCTGCTTTTCCTTACTTAACAAATTGAATTGGGGGATGGTTTTCAACAAAGCAAACGGGCATATCATGTTCAACATTCAATCGATTTCGATGTTATGTTTTTATTGTCACAATTGTGGAAAATCCCGCTTCGCAAAGATACACTGTAGCAAACGGAATTATAGCTGCCATA